GATAAGATAAGATAAGATAAGATAAGATAAGATAAGATAAGATAAGATAAGATAAAACTTTATTGATCCCACAGTGGGGAAATTTGCACATGACTCTGGGCTGGGTTGAATCACTTCATCACTGTCTCCCATCGTTAACAAATCTGTCTTTTCTTTTCATCACTAAAACAAAATGGGAACTTCTGTGAAAGATAAGGATTAAAGAACTGAACTGACACAGTGAGAGTAAAATTATTATTCATCTACTTCAAAGTGCTCTTAAAATTTATAAAACATCYTGGGCTGCAGTGGATGGTCGCAGCCAGCAGGGGGCGGTAGTGTAAACCAGGAAGCAGTGAAACTCCGCCCCCTGAAGAAGAAGAGGAGGCGGCGTCCATGGTCGTAGCTTCACTGGACAAACAGCGTTGATGTCAATTGAAGTGTCGGTTTAGTTTGTTTTTGATGAAATTATGAACAACGGTGATTTCACGGCAGGTCGAGAGAAAATGACAGCGCTCCCCGATAAAGTGGACATGTCTTTGGGTAAGGTTCTTTCTGACAACGTTACTAAAATAGACTGTTAGCTCATGTTGTTAGCCACACGTCAGTTAGCATAGCTGGACATACAACCCCTGTTATAACTAGCCGTGTGCTAACTTTAACAGATGACATCATTCGCTTGAACAAAAAAGAGAAACAGTTCAGGAGGAAACAAGCCAGCGGGAACCGCCGACCGTTCAAGAAGAAAGACCGTGTAGGTCCAGGGAGGGGCGGGGCACCGAGGGCAGCAGGAACCCCCCAGAGAGGTGGGTTCTGAACCTGAACAATGAGCTGGTTCAGCTGCTTCATGTGGCTAAAGTCATTAAATTACATGTAGCAGGAGGTGGCTTTACCCGGGGAGGAGCTGCTAAGTTACGACAAAGAAGGATTCCTCCTCTGCTGGGGCGACGGAGGGGTCAGGGGGTCATCACGGGGCTGGCAGCCAAGAGGCCCGCTGTCCTGCTGAAACGAGCCGGGACCCTCAACAGAACCGCCGCTAACCAGGTACTGAATGAGTGAATGGATGAACGATGACTTCTGATGGTTGATTAAGCTAAATAACAAAAAATAAAAGGAGGGACTTTGATAAAAATTTCAAACTTATTTTAGAGCTGTTTTTCTTTTTAATCGGACCACCCATTAAGCATTTAGAGGTCTTTAAAGGCTAAAAAATAGGAAGCAAGTGGTCCATTGACTTCCATTATAACTTAAAAAAGTGCGGAGCTCCATAGTTAAAAATTTGCAACGATTTTTCAAACCAAAGCAGAAAACAAACTAGATAAATCCTTAAGATAGATTTTGAAATGCTAAGCGGAGGGCAACGGAAACGAGCAAAAAATAAATAAATAAAATAAAATCACAAAACCCTGACCCACACACTGCAGCACACAGTAAACTACAATAACAGGAGGGAGTCTTCCTCATGAATCTGAACCGTTTGCACTCAGACAACATAAAGACTTGTTTCCACACATCGAGCAGACATCTGTGACCAGCTTGTTCAGTCTTTTTCACAGTTTCTGTTCACACATCTACATCACAGCAGGAGGTTTTCTGCTCCAGGTGACCAGATGTGTTAAAAGCAGAACTCGATGCAGAAGATGAACAAAAGAAACCGTGTTGTTTTCTTTTCAAAACACACGCAGATGAGGCATCCTGGGTTGATATTAATACCTCATGTTTGAACATATTTGCACCATGTCACCTGGTGAGTAGAGAGCAAAAGACAGGAGAGAGAAAACAACTGCAGCTCCTAACATTAATCAGGGTTCACGCAGTTTTCAGTAAGTTAAATTTAAGACCTTTTAAGACCATTAATAATGACATTTAAGACCAAATCGATGCA